TAGAACACATGTCCCGATTTCACAGATGAAGTGCTGAAGCTGGTTCACTAACGTACCCACTATCTTGGAGCTAATCTGTGGTGGAATTTGTATGAGAGAGGTCATCTGAATCAAAATACTTGCGTGTCACCGTGGAGCTATGGTGTTTGGGAGATCTAAAAAGAGATGACATCTGAACAGGCAGACCTAACAGGAGAGGAATGAAGAAATGTTAATGGAGCTTAAACCGGGGAGTGACCTAAGCAGGCTGACACGGCAGGGAATCACTCTGGCGGCAGAGTGGACGAAGGTGGGGAGAGAACAGGCCACAAACCAGACGACAGCACGGGAAGCCCATTCCCGGCAGGGGACGAGGCGACCAGGATGGAGTGCAGCATCGGCTGTGCACGAGCCGGCACCCACTGGGGCAGAGGGACCCAGGCCCCAACAGTGGCTGCCATGGAAGTACATGTCGGCGCTGTGAACCCCAGCTAGGAATGTAAGAAGAAAAGCAGACTCGGAGGAGAAGAGTGTAGCTGAAATCCAGGAAGGAGAGGCCCTTCCCAAAGAAGAGACAGCATAAATGTCAAATATTGCCAAGAGGTGGATCAGTCAAGAGCCAAACACTGCGGACCCACTGTTTGCCCTTGGCGGCCAGCAGAGAGTCACTGGTGACGTCTGGCAGACGGGCTGCAGTGCAGACTCTGGTCTAGAGGTGGACCTGCTCGGGCATCTCTAGGAGTTTCCGGGGGAGGAGATGGAGGTGATGCGTGTCGCCCTGCAGGATTCCGTTATGAAAGAAAAGACATGAACAGGGCAGGGGCTCATTCTCACCTTTGTTTTAAAGACGGAAGTGACTTGATTATTTTAATGGAATCAATGGTAAATGTCAGGTGTACTGGATTCTTGGCTCTGCTGTAACAAATTACCACAAACACATTGGCTTAAACCACACAAATTTGTTCTTTTACAATTCTGGAAGTCAAACGTCTACAATCAAGGCACTGGTGGGGCTGTGTTACATCTGGCGGCTTCATGGGGGAAGCTCTGTTTCCCTGTCTTTTCCAGCTTGTAGAAGTGCCTGCTTCACCTGTCTTGTGGCCTCGCCTCCATCTATAAGCCAAACACACAGTGTCTTCTCTCCCCTCTGACCCACTGCCTCTCCTTTATAAGGATTCTTGTGATTACATAGGGCTGCCTGGGTAATCCAGAATAATCTCCCATCTGAAAATCCTCAATCATTTATGCAAATTTCTTTTGGCCATATAAGGTGATATTTACAGGTTCTGGCGATTAGGACGTGGACATCTTTGGGGGGTGTGCCCTTGTCTGCCAGAGTCCACTCTCTGCCCTCAGAGACTCACATCTAATTCATATGCAAAATGTAGTCACCCCATTCCAAAAAGTCCCAAAGCCTCAGCCTGCTACCGGGTCACCTCAAGTCCAAAATTTCATCTGAATCTTATCAGCTCAAAAGATCCAAATCCCATCACCTAAATTATTTACGGCAAGTCTGGTGAGATTGCATATGAACCATCCTGAGACAAAATTTCTCTCCATCAATGTGCCTTGGAAGAGAGAAAGCAAGTTATCTGCTCCTGAAATACAACAGTGGGACAGGGGTAGGGTACCAGTTATAAACATCCCTGTTCAAAAAGGAAGAAAATGGAAGGAAAAAAATCCATCACTGGTTGGCCCCAACATATTTCAAAATCCAGCAAGGCAAACCCCACTAGATTCAAGGCTCGGAGCAACCCTCTGTGGCTTGGCTTGGCTCTGCCCTTGGAGACACCCTTCCTTTTTCATGAAACGTGGCACAAGCTTGAGCTGAGTAGTTTCCTGCAGACTGTCTTCTGCCTGCAGGGTTTTGGGAGTCCTACAGCTTCTTTCAGTTCTCTCTGCCCCTTTCAGTCCAAGCTGGCAGTGTTTCTGCTGACATAACGTCCTTAGGTCACATGTGAACCTCCTGTACCATCACA